AACTGATAAGTGGTAAATATTTCCTATATGAGAATGATACAAATGATAATGTGAACATGAGAATGATGCATAGAAGGAAATGATGATATGGAAATATTGTAGATGCATAGAATCAAACAAACAGAAGGGTTAGATAAACAATATACAAATTGTTCCTTCTTGTGTCCTAATTTTGAGTTGTATCTATGGATAGGGAGGAATGGTTCTATTTTAAAGTTGGCCACTTAAGGATGAACTATATGTAGGGTTAGATGATTTTGACTATTAAAGGTTCTTAAATTGTTTCTTACATTATCATCCATCATAGACTAGTAAGACAGTCCAATCCTTACCTATTACAGGCTACTAATGAAAAAGATTGAATTTGAGTGAGAGTATTTCGCTAGTTATTACGAAGATTATCATCTCATAAAAACGTAAGTACTTTACTCCCTCATAGGAGAGACGGAGCTCGGGTGTAGAGCTCATGTAATGTAGATGCATGTGATAGTGTGTGTGAAAGAACACATAAGTTTCATGCCCTAAAAATCAAATAAAAGTAAAAAAAAAAAGATGTTAGTAGACACTAATCATTAAAACCATTAGATCAAAAAGTAAGATAAATTCAAAAATTATGGCTTGACTCTCTAGTGTCCTCAGTAGAGTCGCCAAACTTTCATAACATATAGATTCGAAAATCTATAGCTAGATTTAACAAATGAATGAAATCGCCACCAATCTTTTTTAACTAGGTGTGATTGGTCACCTAAGGAATCTATCCTATTAAAGAACTCCTAAGCTTGACTAAAGATCCCTAAAAGCATAGGTTTGGGTCTACTAACCAGAACAAGATTCGAAAGTTTGGTTATATATGAGAAAGGTTATAACACCCCCATATCCCATCCAAAGGATGGTACCATATTATTTTGAATTCATCCTATAGTCTTGAGTCTAATGGTTTTAAATTTTAAGTTAAATATTGGAAACGATTTTTAAGATTCATCAATCTGGTAAAACTCTTAAAAAATACTTCATCACTTCAAGAGTATTCAAGAATCTCATTTGATTTCTTGAAGAGGCTCCGTCGTCGAAAAAATGTTTATTTATTATTTATTTTGTTGAAAACAAATCTAATTATTCCACCATTTGGGTCAAAGTAGAAATATTTTCTCTTTTGAATTTCTAAAATTTTCACCATTTGGGCCTATTTAGAAATTCCTTTTTTTCTTGGAAAGAAAATAATATGATAATTATTTTTATTGAAATTTCATCTAAATTATTCCACAATCTGGGTCAAATTTAGAGAAAATTTCTCACCTAGAGATTTATTAGAAATTTACCATTTGAAATTTCTAAGAATCGTAAATTTCTAAGAATCTCATTATTGGATAATTATCATATATTTTCAACCAAAATTTTTTGTTTGGAAAAAATATATAATTACTTTTATTGAAACTTTCATCTATATTATTCTACAATTTGGGACAAATTTAGAGAAAATTTCTCACTTAGAGATTTCTTAGAAATTTACCATTTAAAATTTTTAAGAATCTTATTATTTGGTAATTTGTATTTAATTTCCATAATTTTATATTTTTTTCATTTTTTATTTTTTTGTTTGAAAATAAATATTAATTATTATTATTGAAACTTTATTTAAATTATTTCACAATTTGGGTCAAATTTAGACAAAATTTCTCACATAAAAATTTTATAGAAATTTACCATTTGAAATTTTTATAAATTCTATCATTGGATAAATAATATTTATTCCCAAAATTTTATTTTTAATATATTTATTTATTTATTTCCTAAATTTAATCATACAAAAAAAAACTAAAAAAAACATAAAAATAAATAAATAAAAAAATACAAAAAAAAAAACCAAAAATGGCTCAGCTGGAGTGGCTTGGCTATAGACTCAAAAAGAGGTTGGATCAATGCAGCTGAAGGGTTTGGCTGGCATCCAGGTCAGAAACGGGTTCACGCTCGGGTCGGGTCGCCTGATGACAAAACACGCGGATCCTCTGGGATTATGAAGGTCAAAACGACGTCGTTTTGTAGGGGGTATAAAAGGCTGAGTTCAATTCTTTTTCCTTAGATCCCTCCTCCCCGTTCTCTCTCTTCCTTTCTTTTCTCTCTTTCTTTCTCTGGCACCCTAAGAACACCAGTTGAATTTCATCGGATTCTGAAAAATTTGGTCGAAATCTGAGTTTTTCCTTAGACAAAATTTCTCACTTAAGAATTTTATAGAAATTTACCATTTGAAATTTCTATAAATTCTATTATTGGATAAATAATATTTATTCTCAAAATTTATTTTTAATATTTTTATTTATTTTTTTCCTAAATTTAATCATGCAAAAAAAAAATAAAAAAAATACTAAAAATAAATAAATAAAAAAAATACTAAAAAAAAAAACTAAAAATGGCTCAGCTGGAGTGGCTTAGCTATAGACTCAAAAAGAGGTTGGATCAGTGCAACTGAAGGGTTTGGCTGGCACCCAGATCAGAAACGAGTTTACGCTCGGGTCGGGTTGCCTAATGACAAAACACGTGGATCCTCTGGGATTATGAAGGTCAAAACGACGTCGTTTTGTAAAGGGTATAAAAGGCTGAGTTCAATTCTTTTTCCTTAGATCCCTCTTTCCCGTTCTCTTTCTCTTCCCTTTCTTTTCTCTCTTTCTTTCTCTGGCACCCTAAGAACACCGGTTGAATTTCATCGGATTCTGAAAAATTTGGTCGAAATCTGAGTTTTTCCTTAGACAAAATTTCTCACCTAGGAATTTTATAGAAATTTACTATTTAAAATTTCTATAAATTCTATTATTGGATAAATAAAATTTATTCCCAAAATTTTATTTTTAATATTTTTATTTATTTTTTTTCTAAATTTAATCATGCAAAAAAAACTAAAAAAAACATAAAAATAAAAAAATAAAAAAAATACTAAAAAAAAACTAAAAACGGCTCAGCTGGAGTGGTTCAGCTATAGACTCAAAAAAAGGTTGGATCAGCGCGGCTGAAGGGTTTGGCTGGCACCCAGGTCAGAAATGGGTTCACGTTCGGGTCAGGTCGCCCGATGACAAAACACGCGGATCCTTTGAGATTATGAAGGTCAAAATGACGTTGTTTTGTAGGGCGTATAAAAGGCTGAGTTCAATTCTTTTTCCTTAGATCCCTCCTCCCCGCTTTCTCTCTTCCTTTTCTTTTCTCTTTTTCTTTCTTTGGCACCTTAAGAACACCGGTTGAATTTCATCGAATTCTAAAAAATTTGATCAAAATTTAAGTTTTTCGTCAAAAGTTCACCGAAAAGGTCAATGGATTTTGGAGATGTTATGCCGAAAACTGGGGATATCATCAAAAAATTCAACCGATGCGGGAAAAGTAGCCAAAAATTCAACCGGTGTTGAAAAATTTCGTCGAAATTTGAAAATTTTCTAGAAAATTTTTAAAAAAAGAATGGCAAAAATTCGAAAAAAATTCCTAACAATCCTAGAATTCCCTTAGCCTTTCTAAACACTTTTTACCACTTCTACTTTCTGTTTACCCTATTGTTTTGTGTTTCTCCCTCTGTTTGCCTGTGTGTCTTACCTCTGATTAGTATGGATATTTATAACCAATGATCAGAAGAGTTTCTGATCGATCCTAAGTCTCACTTTTAACCAAATTCTCCTTATCCTTGAGTCTGAGGAGATTAAAACCATTTATGATTCTGCCAATGTCCCCTACACGGTAGAATCTTCCTTTTTATTATTTTTATATTTTTTTAACCATTATCCAAAAAATAAAAATAAGAATAAGAAACAAAACAAAGCTAAAAAAATAATAAATAAAATAAAATAAAATAAAAAAATAATCGGGCCTGACTTCTTGAACCCCATTGAGTTAGGCCCAATGGGCTAAAGCTCACCCCCTATTGAACCAAGCCCAACAGATTTGGGCCCGGACCAATTAGGATGTCTACAGTTACCAGTCGAACATGAGCTAAGTGGTGCAATCTCAATGTCTGGTGTGATCTTATGATCTGTGTATGCTTTGTGTTAAGCTTGATTAAGACATAAAATTTTAATGAGAAAAATTTGTAATGTCTGATGTGATCTGTGTGTGCTTTGTGTTGGACTTGACAGGGACATCAAGTTTTAACGGGAGAAGTTTGTAACGCTCCAATTTCACATATGTATATATAATTTGAAGTTGTGTGCTTTGTGACATGGGGATAATCTGAAGTTTTGTCTAAATTTAAACTTGAGAAATGCTTTTTATGGAACAAAACCATGAGACTTTCAAATAAAAATGAACAATACTTTAAAGGTTAGGTACGAGTTCTTATATCAGATTAATCTGAAGTTCTGTTGTAATATATATATGGATAATCTGAAATTTTATTATAATATATAAATAGAGATCTAACTTTAAACTTGAGAGGTATCTTTTGTGAGATAAAACCGTGAAACTTTCAAATCAAAATGAACAATATCTCACACATTGAGTGCGAATCTTTATAATTTATCTGGTCCTTGATCAAGGAAGTCAATATCATGCAATATTTTGATGAATTCTGCAAATACTATATCCATTATTGGGTTGCATCAATCTTTATATTTTCCAAAACTTTTTCTATTGTTCTTGATTTCCTTCTTGCCTTCTTTGGAGGCAACGAAGGAATTATATCTGGATTTTCAATTTGCCTGTGAACATCCCTAAGTTTATTAAAATGTTGAAGATTTTGGCTTCCACAAACCAATACTCCCTTGTTGCTGCAGCAGCCATTGGTCTTTTACTTGGGTGAGTTTTCTTCCTTATGAACTTCTTTCTTCCAGTTTATGCGTACTAAAATTTTTGTCGTTTAAATTTTTATTACGTCTGATTAATTCAGCGAAGTATGTATATAGCATTCTAAAAGCACCCAGATGTCTTTAGTCAATGTTCCTGTAGAAAAGAAACCACAAACAGGAATAATTTAGTTTGTTCCAATATTATAATTTCAATTCAATGTCATATATAAGTTATTGATCAGAGCCAACTCTATTAGGTTAAAGGAAAATTAAGATGATCTCTTCTAACGTTTTCTTTATTATCATTTCTTTATTCTAGTTGATCTGTCTTAACTCTCAACCGCCTCAGCTGATGATCCAATCATGTTAAAACATAGGAGGAAAATCGATGCCACCTTTTGGAATTTTATAGTTTCGTCAGAAGTTGCATATTTTATATGTAATTTGAAATCCTGGAAGCAAGAAGTTTCAAATATATATTTCCTTTTTGGAAGATAGATCTTTGATAATTGGTTTATTTTATATCCCATTCCAATGTTCAGTCGGCAATAGGTTCACAAATGCAGCTTTTCTATATGTATGGTTCAGGGAAATGGGTCCCTTTCAGTTAAGCTTCCTTGGTACATAGACTAAAGCTGGTAGTTGAAACTTTAGCATCAAGTTAACTATTACTTCACTTGCGGTATAGGTCATGTTCTCTATTATATGGTGCTTGTCTTCATATCTTCCTTGCTGCTTCCTTGCGATGGAAACTGGGTTCTACAACTTACTTAAATTATGGCTTCTGTTTTCATTTCTTTTTACTTTTCCCTCAGCCAATTCAATAGACTTCCAAATGCCTCGCTTTGACTCAAATGCAAATAACATTCTCTATCAGGGTGATGCAAAACCCTCTGTTGGAGCCATTGAGTTTAACCTTTACAATTATCTATGCCGCGTTGGATGGGCAACATATGCTGAGAAGGTGCCACTTTGGGACTCAAGCACAGGAAGACTCTCTGACTTCAATACCCACTTCTCCTTTGTTATTGATCTCCAAGGACGTTCACGTTATGGTCATGGAATTGCTTTTTTTCTTGCTCCTGTTGGGTCTCAAATCCCACCAAATTCAGCTGGTGGCTTTTTGGGGCTATTTAACACAACAACCAGTGATTCATCTCAGAACCAAATTGTTCTTGTGGAGTTTGACACATTTGAAAATCCTGAATGGGATCCACCTGGAGTTGGTAGTCATGTGGGGATCAACAATAACTCAATATTTTCAGCAAACTATGTCAGATGGAATGCTAGCTTTCATAGTGGTGATACTGCAGATGTAGTCATTAACTACAATGCTACTACCAAGAACTTAAGTGTGTCTTGGAGCTATCAGACAACCAATAATCCCCAGGAGAATTCAAGTCTTTCTTATCAAATAGATCTGATGAAGGTTTTACCTGAGTGGGTTATGGTTGGGTTTTCAGCTGCTACAGGTCGGTATGTAGAGCGGCATACACTGCAATCTTGGGAGTTTAATTCAAATTTAATTGTGAAAGAGGAAACAAGGGGCAACACTGCAAGAAATACCAAAATAGTTCTAGGAGTCATAGTTCCTGTCGGTGTTCTGATAGCTGGGACAGTTTTAGCATTTATGATTTGGTGGCGGCAGAAGCATGTGAAAAGAAGAACACAAGAGACAACAAACTTGACATCAATGAATGAAGATCTTGAAAGAGGAGCCGGACCTAGAAGGTTTTCTTATACTGATCTTGCCACTGCTACCAATAACTTCTCAGAACAGGGAAAGTTGGGTGAAGGAGGATTTGGTGCAGTTTATAGGGGTTACCTACCTGATTTGGAAATGGCGGTTGCTGTTAAAAGGATTTCAAGCGGGTCCAAGCAAGGGAAAAAGGAGTATATAACTGAAGTGAAGGTCATTAGCCAGTTAAGACACCGGAATCTGGTGCAACTTATTGGTTGGTGCCATGATAGAAATGATTTCCTACTTGTTTATGAGTTCATGCCAAATGGTAGCCTTGATTCCCATCTCTTTGGCAGAAGAAGTCCACTTACTTGGCCTATAAGGTACAAAATATCTCTTGGATTGGCATCTGCAGTTCTCTACCTTCATGAAGATTGGGAGCAGTGTGTGGTGCATCGAGATGTTAAATCAAGCAATGTAATGCTTGATTCTAGTTTCAGCGCCAAACTTGGTGACTTTGGATTGGCTAAACTCATGGACCTCGAGCTAGATCCAAAAACAACAGGGTTGGCAGGAACTTTAGGCTACTTGGCTCCGGAGTACATAAGCACAGGTAGGGCTAGTAAGGAGTCCGATGTTTTTAGCTTTGGAGTGGTCATTTTAGAAATTGCAACCGGAAGAAAATCTGTTGATCCTGGAGGAACATCTGATATGGGATTGGTAGAGTGGAGTTGGGATCTTTATGGGAAAGGAGAGCTACTTTTGGCAGTGGACAAGAAGTTGAACAAGGAGTTTGATGAAAAACAAGCAGAGTGTTTGATGATTGTTGGACTGTGGTGTGCTCACCCTGATTGTAATTCAAGGCCTTCAATCAGGCAAGCAATTCAAGTTCTTAATTTTGATTCAGAGACGCCAAATCTTCCAGTCAAGATGCCCGTTCCTATGTATCATGTTCCTTTACCATCAGTGAACTCTGAGGAACCTTTAATAACTTATTCGAGCATGAAAGTGGGTCGTTAGACGTGATTTGCCTTCTCTGTAAAGTTCAACTTTCTTATTTTTGTTCTTTCTATAAATTCACTATTGAATATTTGACATTAAGTTGATGTATAAATAAAACTTATACAGTTATTCAGAGGAATTTAGTTCGATTATGGTGTTGCTTAACCATTTCCTGTACTATCACAAAGACAGACTAAAATTTTTGCACTGAATGTCTGCGGTTAACTTTGGTTTATATGTTGAATTCTTGGCAAGAAGAAAAAGAAGCTGATTACTAAGTATTAGCCAATAGCCGATTACAGGTTCATGGTCCGTTGGAACAAAGCAGACTCTGCTGCAGGCTCTCTCGATTGAGGCATATATTTGCATACATGTGCCTGAGTTGATTCAGAAACATGGTAAACAGGTTTGGATCCCAGTGTTAGTTTTATTCTTTGAATTAATCTCTCTTTCCCTGCTCATCAAGGTATATAGTTATGGTTACAAACTATCATCAAGAATCCATCCAAACATTAACTTATTCATCAGCAACAATAAAATATTGCCAAGTAGTTGTCTTGTCCCCATAAAGTTATGCTTCAAGTTAATTCTATAAGTAAATATATTGTACAGGGAAATAAGATGAGTCTAGGCCAAGTAGTTAAACCTTAAGAAAGTGTTTCCTTGGCAGGAAAGACAGGAAGAAAATATTTGATTTCATGATAATTCTTATCTTGGATGAAAATTTCTATACTCATCCTTTTGGACTTTGTATATATATATATATATATATATATATATGTATGTATGTCATATATGTTTCTACTCTCTAGTCTTTATCTGGCAGTGCTTATTTGTATTGATCCTGCTTTTTGGTAAAAATTTATTGTATAATTAATTGGCATTTCCATTCATACAAGCTTCTAAAATATGGATTTCCTTCTTTTGTTAAATCTTTGTTTGGCATAAGTATTATTGTAATGGGCCTTCTGACTCTGAAGGAGACTGATTCTAAAGGTAAATTAATTTCCGAGAGTAAGCTTTTGACAATGAAATGCCACCAGCCCACCTTGAACTCTTTTGTGCATAACATGAACGTTTTTCCCCCTTTTTTTTTTTTGTAAATTTTTCTGTGCAAATCTTAGATATTCAAAATTTGGGAAAGTATAGATCAGGCTGATCATAATGATGCCTTCGAAGATGGTTCCCTATTGTTGACTTGTTAGCTTATTTAGCATGGGACACTAATAAATAATATGAAAAATTAGGATTGTAAGGTCCACCCCCCAATTGATAGGCTAATTAAAAAGCCTAAAGTCTTGTCGTCTTTAACCAAGAAATAAAGTCCTACTTAATAAAAAGAAAAAAAAAAGATAGTTTTTGGCGTAAAATGAAAGTGAGAGAGAGTTCGTCGAAAAGAAAAAGAAAAGTAAAAAAAAATAGAAAGAGAAAAGAGAAGGGAGAATTAGTTTAATGAAAATTTATTCGTCATCTAATTAAGTTAAAATTTTATCAAAAATTCATAATTCAGAGTTTTACATTTTGAACAATAGAGATCAGATTTGAAACTCTCTAAGAATAAATTGATAGTATATTACTTGAATTACCTATTTGATGAGATTTCTTCAATTATCTCTCTAATTATTATTAGCTCTAATTTTAGTTAGAAGAAAATTTTGTAAATCTATTATTTGATAATGAAAATTTTTAGATGGTCCATGGTTTTTTCTCTTTACACTAGAGAGTTTTTCATGTAAATCTTAGTGTTTTTTATTTTTCCTGCATTGTTAATTATTATTTGTTGTCTATTGCTATGGGTTTATTGTGATATATTACTTTTGCATTATTGTGTTTGTTACTTCAAGCTTAACAAGTGCTATTAAAGTGAATGTTATTTTGAGATATCGACACAGAAGCAACCTAAGATAGAAATAAATTTTATTTGAGATTATGGAGGGTGATACAGGTTTCATGATAAAATTGACAACATCAAATTATTCAATTTGGAAGCTTATGATGAAAGATCATTTATATTTCAAAGATTTGTATGAGTCGGTATTAAATGATTTGGCTAAACCAGCAGATACGAAAGATGAAAGTTGGAAGAAGTTAGGCAAAAAAATGTTGGCTATAATTAAAGAATAGGTTGATATCAGCGTGTTTCATCATGTAGCATAAGAGATAGATGCCTACACTGTTTGAGAATAATTGATAGTATTGTATAAGAGAAAAACATTCATGAATAAAGTTATGCTTGTTAAAAAGCTTGTAACTTTACAGTACAAGGAAGAACGATCGATTATAGAGTATTTGAGTAATTTTCAAGATATATTTAATTTGATGACTACTATAGAGCTTAAAATGGATGATGAAATAAAGGCATTATTTCTTTTAGGTTCATTACCAGATAACTGGAATATTCTAGTTATAACTGTTCTTAATTCAGCTTTTAATTACAAGGTGATATTGGAGATGGTAAAGAACAATATGCTTAATAAAAAAGAAAGGCAAAAAGATTTAAACCTTGGGAATCAAGCTTTGTTCACAGAGAACAGGGGTAAAAAATCAACAAAAGTCAGAATTCAAAAGGTCATAATAAGTTTAAACATAGATACAAGTTCAGAGATAAGTGAAGTATTTTCATTATGGTAAAGTAAGTCATATAAAGTGATACTGCAAAATCTCAAAGTAAGAGTGAAAAGATGAGAAAAGTAAAAGTTAAATGGTGGCAATGTTGTAGCAGTGAATTTATATAATAATCATATGCTATTTGTAATTATGTTGGTAATCCCGGTATTAAGTGGATAGTTGACACAATAGCAGCATATTATTATATTCTTAAGAGGGAGTTATTTACAACTTACAAAGCAAGAGACTTTAGTTACACCAAGACAGGAAATAAGAGTGTGTCACAGATTGTTGGGATTAGTGATATTATTGTACAAACTAGTATAGGCTGCATGTTTACTTTGAGGGATGTTAGACACATTTTGAATATGAGAATGAACTTGTTTGCTACTAATGTCCTTGATAAGGAAGGATATAAGAGTCGATAAAAGAATAGATAGTGAAAACTTTTCAAAAGATTTGTGGTAGTTGTAAGAGGAAAACTATGCTGTACAATGTATAAAATATGAATGCAATTGAATGGTAACCAGATAAATACCATTAAGGATGATGCTTCAACAAACTTGTGACATAAGAAATTGGCAAACATGAACGACAAAGGGTTACAAATTTTGGTAGGATAGTCTCTTATTACTTAGATCAAAGGTATATCTCTTAATTTATGTGATTATTATTTGGTTGGCAATTATCATAAAGTTTCTTTTCATAAACATTCTCAGAGAAAAGAAGACAGATTGAAATTGATTCATTTTGATGTATGTGGTCCCATTGAGGTTGAGTCATTAGGTGGTAGTAGGTATTTTGTTACTTTTAGTAATGATGCTTCACATAAGATTTGGGTGTATATGTTGAAAAATAAAAGCTAAGAATTACAGTATTTTTAAAAATTTTATGCCATCATGAAAAGGATGATAAGGTTGCCCTTGAAGTGTATGCAGATTGATAATAGTGAAAAATACATATCTAAAGACTTTAAAGAATATTGTTCAAAGCAGGAGATTAGGCATGAGATGACAGAACTTGAAGCACTATAGCATAATGGTGTAACTAATAGGATGAATTACACCATTATGAAAAAAGTCAAATGTATATTAAGGATAATAAAATTACCAAAGCCATTATAGGGTGAAGTAGTAAATACAGCTTGTTATTTGCTTAACAGATTACCATCAGTACCTTTAGGCTTTGACATTTCAAAAGAGTGTCGATAAGGAAAGATACTTCATACCGTAATATTTAAAAGTTTTTGAGTGTAAAGCAATCATGTATGTATTGAAAAAATGCAAAGGTCAAAGCTTGACAGTAAGTCACATAGTGTGTGTTTATAGGATATGGTGATAAGGACTTTAACTACAATGTATAGGATCTAGTGAAGAGAAAGACGACCAGAAGTAAAGATGTGATCTTTCATAAAAAAAAAAACATAACAGACCTTAAGAAAAATGAGAAGCTTACACGGGTTACTATTGTTTGTAATGTTTCAACACTGACAAGTCCACAGGAAAGAATCACAGATGGTGAAAATAAGCAAGAGACATAACTTGAGGACATGAATAAGTTAGCCATAGTTAGTGATGAGCTAGATACAATCAGTTTTGAGCAAAGAGAATAATCTTCTCTACTTAAAAGTGTTAAGCAAAGTGAACAGTTTTTTTCACCAAAAAGTGTTAAGCATGAAGAGCTACTTTCAGAATTAGATAGTGTAAATGGGTGTTTAAGTTGAAAAAAAATGGTGACAAGCTAGTGAGGTACAAAGCTCGATTAGTGGTGAAACATTTTTTTCGAAAACCTGGTATTGATTTTGATGAGATATTCTCTCTAATTGTGAAGATGTGTTCTATTCGAGTGGTATTAGGATTATTAGCTAGTTTGAATCTTGAGCTTGAGTAACTTGATATTAAGACTACATTGTTGCATACTTATTTGCAGGAAGACATTTATATGGTTCAGCCCGAGGGTTTTGAAATGAAAGGGAAAGAGCATTTAGTTTGCAAATTGAAGAAAAGATTGCATGGTTTGAAACAAGCTTCGCGATAATGGTATAAAAAATTTAACTCTTTTATGATGAGTCATAGCTATAAAAAAAGGTAATGAATCCTTATGCATATGTTTGAAAATTTTTTGATGATAACTTTATTATTATCTTATTATATGTTGATGATATGTTAATTGTAGGACAAGATACTGATATGATTTGCAGGTTGAAAGAATAATTGTCTAAGTCATTTGACCTAAATAATTTAAGTTTAACAAAGCAGATTCTCGGTATAGATATTATCTGGGATATGAGACCTGAAAAGCTGTGGTTATCATAAAAAAATATATTGAATGGGTATTTAGTAGATTTACATGCAACATGCTAAATCAGTTAGTAATCCATTTGCTAATCATTTTCATTTGAGTAAGAAATCTTATCTAGTGACTAAAGAAGAGCAACTAGCTATATCTAGTATTTCTTATTCTTTTGCAGTTGGTTCTGTGATAAATCTTATGGTTTGCACACGCCTGATATTACTCATGTAGTTGGTGTAGTAAGTAAATTTCTTTTTAATCTGAAAAAAGTTCATTGGGAAGCAGTGAAATAGATTTTCAGATATTTAAGGGGCATTTTAAAAATGTGCTTGAGTTATGGAGTTTCACAATCAATTCTAGAAAAGTTTACTTATACTGACATGACAGGTGATCTTAATGGTAAAAAATTTACTTTAGGGTATTTGTTCACTTTTGTAGGAGGAGTTGTGCCTTAGCAGTCTAAATTGCAGAAGTGTGTTGTTTTGTCAACTACAGAGGTTGGGTATATTGTAGTAATTGAAGCATGTAAAGAAATACTTTAGATGAAATATTTTCTTCTTAAATCAGAGTTGAATCAGAAAAAGTATGTGGTGTTTTGTGATAGCCAAAGTATTTTAGATTTGAGTAAAAATGCTATGTACCATACTAGAACAAAGCACATTGATGTTAAATATCACTGGCTACATTTGGTGATTG